AGAAGATTCACCCCTTGGAAAGAGGAAAAGGCGCGGTGGGCGGAGGTCATGGATTCATAGAAAGACCCTTTAGAGTATCATAAAATATTAGTGTTGAGACCTTAGAGATTCATCTCCCTCACTTGAGACAGGATGAAAATGAGGTCCAGAGAGGGGAAGTGAAGCTTTGCTTGTGATATTAGTGTAGTCCTGTTTTATCAATAACCTTCGATCCTTACTCTCATTTATGCATTCATTCATCCACCAAGTCTTTATTTTGTACCTACTATGTTCTAGGTGCTCTCAAAAACAGATGAAGAAAGCATTGTGCTGCCCTCAAGGAACTTACAATCTACCAGACTGTAACTTGATGCCCCCAAGTCCCACTGGTAGCTCTGGCTCCACTTTGGGAATCTGGCTACATCTTACACATGCAAAATAGTTATTTTTGGGATTTAGAGCTCAGAGACCTTAAAAATTCAGTCCAATCCCCTCATTTTATAGCTAGTGAAACTAAGGGCCAGAGGCTATTTGCTTGTCTCCCAGACTCTAGCAGCCAAGACTCAAACCCAGGTCTGCTGATTTCAGGTCCACTGCTCTTCTTACTACAAGTAAGCTGCCTCTAGGGTACAACAACTGAAGGTAAGAAGATGGTTCCCAACTGGGGTTAGGGGAGAAGGCAGGGGAAGGTCATGGTCTTTCATGTGTATGTGTATATGTTTGGGATAAAGTACTTCATTTTGGGCACAAGGCAGAACTGAAAATCTGAGTTGTTTTCCCAAGAGGTCAGTTAGGTCATGCTTAGCCATCCACATTCCCTCAGAATCTATAAAGAGGTCAGCAGACTCCTGCCCCATTAATTAGCTTGAGGAGCTAACTGGATCGTAACACATTTGATGCCATGACACTGGCTTCAGTCACACTAGGCCCTAAACTCTGGGCTAATTGGCCCAAGTATTATGGATCTGTTTGTGGTTAAGTAGATATACCTTGTACATGGCATCTACTTGGTAGCGTGTGTCCTTCACAGCCCAAGAAAAACTGCCAAGAATGTTATTGAGTCTAATTTTCATTTGTCTAGCACTCTCGTTAATGATGTCTATTTAAGACATCCATTAAAGGCCCATGAGGTTAATTAAATGGACAATTCCAATAAAGTTCTATTAGACTCTCCCTATTAAATTAATATTATAGACTTTTAACAGATGTCTTAATTAGGCATTATAGTTAAGGAATGCAAACTAAATTAAAATCAAAGCTGCTGTCCAGAAAGAAAGCTTTTTACCATGATTTATGGTTTATTCTAAATCATCTCCTGTTTGTACTCTTTGGAGTCTTGGAGAGAAGAAAGTCATTGGTCAACTTTTCCAGAAGGTGTCAGTGATTGTTCCAAATCATCTGGTTTCTGACCTGGGTAAAGTTTGAAACTCCTGACTTTTAGGAGCCTTCTGGTCCAGGAAGTCTTCTCAAGCAGCTCAATGTTTTCTCAGAGTGAAATAAACCAATCGAAATAACCATCGAACACAAGCCTAAAAGGGGATTCTTGATACTTCCCCACAAATCATGGGGAAATAGATCTCCAAAGCTTATATTGCACTGGGAGTTTGACTCTTTCAAGCCATTCTGCTTACTGTCCCCAAGGACACACTGAACTAACACTTTCATTCATTCTGTTCCCCTTGTTTGGGATAATACCTTCTCCTCTTCTATACAAACTCTCCTTATCCATTAAGGACCAGATCAAATCCCATCTCCTCCATGAAGGCTTTCCTGATCATCCTGATTATACTGGATTGTTCTCTTCTTCTGGACCCATAGAGTACCTTATTTTCTATACCATACATCTTGTACTAATTGTTCCATCCATTCGTTCGCCTCGTGTCTCTGATTAGACTGTGCGCCAGGCTAAAAGCAAGAGACCATGCTTCATATTTCTTATGCATTTCCCACATGGTAGGTGCTCAATGAATCCTGTGAAACCAATGGGGCTTAGCTAACTTTCTCAGTATTAGTGTAGTATAATCAAAAGGCACAATGACTTGAAGTCGAGGCCTGGCTCCTAGTCCAAGCTCTTTGCCTTACTTGTTGTTTGTTCTTCATTCTCCAAGAGGACCATGACATCAGTAAGGTGATGCCATGACTTACAAGTGAATTGGATTTAAGTGAGGGAGGCTGTGCAAAGTCACCAGCCTCACTCTCTCCTCTGGAGCCATCTGGGTCAGGATGACTAGAGATGGCCCAGCATGCAGTGGGAAACCTTGTCCTTTTTAAGCTAAGGTCTTTAACAGGTCTCAAAAATGGGCAATTACTGCCAGCTCCCCCACATTTATTCTACTTTTTATTAAAAAAAATCTTGTCAATGGCCTTAAGCTATTTGGAAATCAAGAAAGGATTAGGACTAGCCTTCTTAATAAATTGATAATCTGCTTTTTAAGATTCAGACTTTCAATTAAGTAAATCTAGAGGTGGATCTTTTCTGCTGTATATACACCTTCTCTTCCCCCAAACAGTATTAAAACTGACCAAACAGGAATAAATTACCTGGGTTCAGTCCTGGTAGCTATGTATAGTTTTTATGTTATGTATACATACACACATAGATATTTCTTTCTATAAGACTCTTTTTAAGTGAGGAACCCTCTAAAGATCAGGACACCTGACCATTCAACATGTATAGTTAAAGTGAATTTGTCAGGAATCTTGTAAAGGATATTCCAGGTCAGGTCCTGATTAGACTAGTTGACCTTGGAAGTCCTTTCTGACTTTGAGATTCTGACTCCTCGAATCCATCTGCTGTGAGGATCAAATGCTGTGAAAGTCCTTTGTAAACTTGAAGGTGGTGTACAAATCCAGGTTATTATGATGATGATGACTCTGGGGAGGTACAGGGAGGTCCCGATTCAGGTGCCAGAAAGTAACAAAAACATGATGGTATTAAGCATAACAGGAAGAACTGCTGGGGACCTAGAGAGCTTAGAACCACTCATGAGCAGTTATGTCAGTACTCTGACTACGTGCTCAGCCCAGTACACGGCATCCCAGGAAAGGAAACAAAGTAAAAGGCATTTCTCAGGGCCAGAGAAGCCGCCAGTTAGCACCATACATCTAACTTAGAGACCAAAAGCAAGCGCCCAGTACAACACAGTACACATAGGTACCAAGAGGGTGAAAAAGGGAGGGAGGGGGAAGCTGTCTGGAGGAAGTGAATCTTGAGTTGGAGCTCAGATATCTAAGAGGAAAAAAAAGGTGGTTCCTGAATTTGACCAATAGTTTCTTTGACTAACAGTTGTGGAATGCTGACTTCTTTTTTCTCTATTCCTCAGCCTTTCCCCTTGACTCAGATAGTTTGGGTGGATACACTGACTCAACATTCTTTCCTCCTCCATTAGTAAAGTTCTGACTTGCAACCTATAGCCCTGCAGTCACCCATGCCACTGCTGCTGTGACTACGTCTCTGCATCTTTGCCTTGCCGGTCCCTGGTATCTGAATCAGTGAACTGTCTTCATTCTCCCCACTGGCTGAGGATCGTTGCATTTAGAGCCTGCTGGGCCCACTGTCTTGTGACTGCCAGTGGGATTCTGTGCTGAACAGTATTCTTGGGTAACTTTTAGGACCCCAGCTTTAAAAGGTAACCCTCTTATTCTGCTGCCACTCCATTTCATTCCACCCTCTTCCCCACCAAAAAAAAAAAAAGAGTCTGCAAAGAATTGTTCCCACTAGCCACTAGCAGGCTGAAACATCACCACCATCCCTACTCCCCTTGCCTCCCAAACTCCACAGCTCTCTGGCCTACTTTTGGGACTCAGCTGAAAACATGGGTGTACATTTAATGGTTCCCTGGGTCTTGTATCAGTAACCAGTTTGCTTAACTTTCTTGGAACAGGTAGGGCCTGTTTCCAAACTAACCTGTAACTGGCTACTGGTATGGGTTGGATAATGCTGCATCTATATGGCCTATGCCTCACTTTTTCTTGCTCTGAAATGGGAATAAGAGTACTAACCACTTGCCTCCCAGACACATGAGTACTCACAACCTTCTCCAAAGAAAGGTTATCTCTCCAAGTCCCCTTAATTGGGGGTGAGGGAAGAGAGAGGAGAGGACAGGAAGTTTGTGATTTAAGTAGCAAGCAACTCACACTGAAACTTGAGTCAATGCCAAATGAAAAACAGATTTCACGTGGGAAGCGGCACCAGCAACTTTTCTGGAAAGCAACTGTATATTTATACAACATTAGAAGCCTTTTACAATGAGTGCTGGCTGGAAAGAACAGGATGGTTTAGGAAAGAAAGTTATAGCACCTACTAAGAATTAACGATACTCAGTTACGAATGTGGCACTTTCAGCCGGTTAGAACAAAAACCACTTTAAATTAACTAATAGAGAGATTTATTTCCCCATCAAGAAATCAGGTAGTTATGATCATAGCTTACAGGTAGGACAGAAACAGCCAAACATTGCTCAGGAATGTCAGAATGAGGGAGAGACATTTCCTATCAACCCACATGGGGTCATGGCATCCAAGGTCATATGACACAGTAAATAGGCAGTTCTGGGCTATCTGACAGGCCAGGGTCACAGCATTCTAGTCCTCATGTCAGACAACCCCGTTATCTGGTCTGAATCAATACTCATCCACTTTGTGTGTAATGTTCTCTTTTCCTTAATGTGGAGTGCTTGTAATGAGTGGCTCAAAGACAAAGGGACATTAAAAAAGCCCTATTTCTGTAGGGAAGTTTCTAGGAGTAAGGGGGTAGGATGCCAAGGATGACCTGTGGCACACATCTTGTTTGTTAAAAGAAAGACCCTTAAGAACACTGACACTCCTCAGGACTTCCCACTAAAATGACTGAAATGGTTTTCAGCCAGTTATCTCTCCTCCCTCCCCTCTCTCCATCCCCCCAAAACCCCTCAGACCAAGGAGAGCTTCACTTGCTTTTAGCACAGACAACACTGGTCTAGGATATTAGAGTCAACGAAAAAGTAAAACCTCCATGTTTTAGCATCAAAGTACAAAGGGGCTTATTTTTAAAAATAATATGTTTATTGCACAAATAATACATTTTCTTATTCAGATTTCAAAGTTATTACAGATATAGTTTTCTGAAACAGCTTCAAAGGACACCTGGGATGAAGTTTCTGGGAAGTGGACGGTCACACAATGTATGGGAGTTTGGGAAAGAAAGCCTCATGATCCTCTCTATCCTCCCAGGTGCCCTGGCTTTTCTCTGGATGATGCCACAAAGGCTTGGCACTGGAGAACAGTACCTTCTGCATTTCCCTCTTTATAGTCTGCTCCTGAGGTATAGAGACTAGATGACACAAAGCTCAATATGCATGGTCCCAACTCCTTAATCCAATGGAACTATTAATTTGCAAAATAAAAGCCTGTGATTGTGTAAGCTACTTTCTGCTGAGACTGCTACTCCAGGGGGCGACAGACTTGAATTGACTCAACAAATCTCACTAGAAAATAATGCAATCAGAAAATCAACTGTTTAACCAAAGAGGCAGGCAGACCACACGCAGAATTTTTAAACAATATGGAAAGAAAAGACAACTCTAACAATTGAACTGGTGAAATGAGCTGGAAATGAGCTACTCACTGGCCTGGCAGTTATTTATTTATTTTTTTTTAAGGAGCAAGGCACCAAACATGAGCCAGCTGCCAGTTCAGGTCTCCCGCCTTCCTTCACACTGTTCTGAATCGCAGTGATATTTTCTTAAGCAGCCACAAGTTCAGAGGTCAATTGTTCCTTTTGCTTTGAACTTCTTTGCAGAACGCTCACTTGACCGAAGTTGGAACTTGCTCCCATAAATATAGGAAATGAAGCCATCGATCTCTATAGTAAACACACAGTTTAACTTGGGAATAACTAAAAGAGAAGGAAAGAAAGATAAGTGAGAAGGAATTCTGGCACTTGTTTGCTTTTATATATGACATCCTCATTCAAGTAATGTTATAAATGAGGAAACAGAAATAAATCTGACTTCTGATAGTAATGATGGCCACAGAATGTATGGGAAAGTTTTTCTGCAGCAAGGCCAATTTTTAACAAAGACATCAATCAATGTGACTCCAACACCTAATTTTCACAATCAAAAGCACTGGGATCAGACTTGAAATACTGCCCCAGGGAAAGAGCTGCCTATGATATAGGTTTTTCTAGGGAAGATATTTGGACACAAAACTCTCAAATTCCATGTTGGTTTGATTCTCATGGAGGGAATTACCTACACGTTACACCATCTTCCCTTCTGTTATTTAACTAGGAAAAATTAGTCTCTGCATCAGAATACCAAAATCAAAATAAATAACTAAACAATCAAATAAATGTACAATTGAATTAATGAAAAGAATTACAACATTTTCACAACTTTGAGTCTCTAGGTAACTTTAAGAACACTGTTTCTTATTTCTTATTCTTTTCTTGAGCAATACCTCCCAATGCATCAAGTTTGAAAACACTGTCCTTGAACCAAGAATGTTGCCTTTGGGGGCAGAGATGTCCAAGAATGTGGGAAGGTACAACTCTTTATTTCCTTATCCTTCTCTCTCTTCTTTTCCTAAGTCTCAGCATTTTGAAGGGAGGCTGCTGACCATACCAAAGTCTGTACTTAGCATTCAGGAACAGACAGAGGGGTGAACTGTCTTCCTTATGCAAAAGGCAGCAAATGGCAAACTCTTCCCAGCCAGCCAGCCTTTCCTGTTGGTGTGGCAACCCTGGTTATCCACTCTCACAGGAAACTAGGGAAACAGCTTCTGAAGTCAGGTTAATCATTTCCATGTGCCTGATCAGACAGACACGAGTACCCAAAGACAATCTGTGACCAGCATGGCAGTAACCTGCTTATTGAATTTGTGTGTGTGTCCTCAATGCTTAATGCCTACAGGGAAGTGGCCACATACCTTTTAATTTGTCATCTTTGGTGATAATTTTGAAGACATGCTTCATTTCTTGAAGAAGAATTCCCGTAATACCAACATAAGAGGGGCATTTAGATTTTGTAACTAAAGAACAAAACAGAAACAATGGTGACAGTTTCTATGGCTGCTCAGAGCCTTTACATGGAGATACATGCAGAATGTCAGAGTTGGCACGGCCATTCGTGACTAATTAGACCAATTCTTCTCTTCCCCCCAACCATCTTTCCATCCCCCTCCCTTTTTACAAATGAAGAAACTGAGGCTTGAGCACAAGACATCACTTGCCTAGAGTTACATAACTAGCTGGTGGCAGAGGTGAGGCAAGAACCCAGGTTTCTCAGCCCCTGGTTTAGTGTTTATTCCACTGTCCCTCAATGTCCTCCAGGAATGTACCTTCTATGGTGGCAGAAGCAGTTACTTCTGTTTGAGATATGGGATATGGAAGTACTTTTGACAATCTGTAGATGGCTATACGGATATAAGGTATTGTTATTATTTTAATGCCAACCACCAAACGGAGGAGTGGCCAATTAATCACTAAGCATAATTCTAGAGCTTAATGTTCATAAATATGACTAATACTAGACAGTATTAAGAGGTCTTACAGCCCTACAGAATGAGAGAAGAGACTCATTTTTCTACATGGGTAATATACAGAAGAAGTCTATTAAAAGGCAGTTAATTAAATACAGGATTTGAATATACTACCTACCAAGCACCCTTCTACTAACATCTTCCAACAGTTGTGATGAATTTCCTGTTGTGGATCATCTCCCACTTCGTCCCTATACATATTCTTCATCTAAAACAGACTACTTACTATTCCTCCAAAACACATCTTGTATCTTCCCACTTTAAACTACATCTTACATCTACTATGTTTTCCTTCCATCTCTACTTGTTGAAATCCTTCCATTCTTAAATGCCAGTTCAAATGTGACCATTCCTTGGTGCCTCCAACTGTCTGTGGCCTCTCCTTCCCCTAAGCCTTCTGAGCATTTTCCAGCTCCCCTACAATACAGGTCACATCCTCTTCTGTATTCGTTCTATGCACGTATCATATCTCAGTCTTACCCACCCATCCCCACATCCCTAACCTACAACTATCAGCTCCATGAGGGTAGGGGATGGGTCTTTGTTTCTTACTCTTTTTTGTACTTTGCTCAATGCTCAGCATAGGGCCTTGGACATGGCAGGTGCTCAATACATTTAAGCTGAGTAAATGAATGAATTATAAATATAGCTTTCACAAGCTGACCAGTTTCCATCTAGCAATGACTTTTCCTAAGGGATGAGGGCATCATGGGCAGTAGATACAATTCTCTTTCCAAAAAACTCATAGCTTGTGGGGCAGAGCCAAGATGGTGGAGAGAAAGCAGTGACTTGCTACAGCTCTCCCCCAAACCCTTCCAAATACCAAAATGGCTCTAAACAAATTCTAAAGTAGCAGAACCCACAAAAAAACAGAGTAAAACAAATTTCCAGCCCAAGACAACCTGGATGGCTGATCAGAAAGGTATATCGCGCTGGGCTGGGAGAGGAGCACAGTTCGGCGTGGGCGCGCAGGCCGAAGTGACCCTGGAGCAGGCCTCAGAGGACTGAATCGCGGGCAGCTGTGGCGGTTTCCAGACTTCTCAACCCACGAACGCCAAAGACAACTCAGAAGGTCAGCGGGAAAAGTCTGTTACTGCGGTGAAAGAAGAAGCTAGATCTCAGCCGCCCCAAGGGCAGCGGCTGGCTTCTGAGCTTCCGGCCCACAGACTGAGGGGGAGTCAAGTGGCTGATCAGAGGGGGATTGCAAGGATCTCTTTGCCAGGGCTGAGGCAGGAAGCTCTTGCTTTGCCCGTGCTTGGATCTGGGTCACAGCTCTGAGGGGCGGTCCTGGGGCAAGGAGGAGCGCTGGCGTGGTGGAGCTTGTTGTGGCAGTGGAGAGGAAACACCTCGCCCCTTATCATAGCACCTTGGAAGAACTGACACTTTTCAGGTCCCTAGAAGTATCTCTGAAAACAGCTGTACAAACCCTCAAAGCTTGGGACAGTACATTCTCCACATTGGAAACAGACTCCTACCTTAACAAAGGGTTTAAAACTCAAGTAATTGGTTGGGATCATGAGCAAGCAGCTCAAAAAGAGTCAGACTATGTTATCTTACTTTGGTGACAAAGAAGATCAAAACATACAACCAGAAGAACAAAACAAAGCCAAAGCTCCTACATCCAAAACTTCCAAGAAAAATATGAATCAGTCCCAGGCCTTGGAAGAGCTCAAAAGGGATTTTGAGAAGCAAGTAAGAGAAGTAGAGGAAAAACTGGGAAGAGAAATGAAAGTGATGCAAGAAAATCATGAAAAGCAAGTTAACAGCTTGCTAAAGGAGACCCCAAAAAATACTGAAGAAAATAACACCTTAAAAAATAGCCTAACCCAAATGGCAAAAGAGGTCCAAAAAGCCAATGAAGAAAAGAATGCCCTAAAGAGCAAAATTGGACAAATGGAAAAGGAAGTCCAAAAGCTTACTGAAGAAAATACTTCCTTAAAAATTAGACTAGAGCAATTGGAAGCTAGTGACTTTATGAGAAATCAAGACACTGTAAAACAAATTCAAAAGAATGAAAAATTAGAAAACAATGTGAAATATCTCACTGGAAAAAAGATCCAGGAGAGAGACTTTAAAAATTATTGGACTATCTGAAAGCCATGATCAAAAAAAGAGCCTAGACATCATCTTTCAAGAAATGATCAAGGAAAACTGTCCTGATATTTTAGAACCAGAGGGCAAAATAGAAATTGAAAGAATCCACCGATCTCCTGAAAGAGATCCCCAAAGGAAAACTCCTAGGAATGTTGTGCCAAATTCCAGAGTTCCCAGGTCAAGGAGAAAATATTACAAGCAGCCAGAAAGAAACAATTCAAGTATTGTGGAAACACAATCAGGATAACACAAGATTTAGCTGCTTCTACATTAAGGGACCGCAGGGCATGGAATATAATATTTCAGAGGGCAAAGGAGATAGGATTACAACCAAGAATCACCTACCCAGCAAAACTGAGTATAATTCTTCAGGGGAAAAAATGTTCATTCAGTGAAATAGAGGACTTTCAAACATTCTTGATGAAAAGACCAGAGCTGAATAGAAAATTTGACTTTCCAATACAAGACTCAAGTGAAAAATGAAGAGGTAAACAGGAAAGAGAAATCATAAGAGACTTATTAAGGTTGAACTGTTTACATTCCTGCTCCTGCACGGAAAGATGATATTTGTAACTCATGAGACCTTTGTCAGTATTAGGGTAGTTGGAGGGAAAAAATTATATGTATGTATATACATAGATAGCTAGATGGATAGATAGATAGATAGAGGGCACAGGGTGAGTTGAAGATGAAGGGGTCATATCTGGAAAATAAAATTAAGGGGTGAAAGAGGATTATACTAGGAGAAGGAGAAAGGGAAAGGTAGAATGGGGTAAATTATCTCACCAAAAAACCAGAAAAGAAAAGGCTCTTACAGTGGAGGGGAACTGGGGAAGGTGAGAGGAACTGAGTGAATCTTATTCTCATATGATTTGACTTAAGGAGGGTATAACATACATACTCAATTGGGTATGGAAATCTGTCTTACTGTACAGGAAAATAGGAGGGGAAGGGGACAAGAGAGTAGGGGGATGACAGAGAGGAGGGCAGATTGGGAAAGGGGGTAATCAGAAGCAAATACTTCTGAGGAGGGACAGGGTCAAAAGAAAGAATAGAATAAATGGGGGAGGGCAGGATAGGATTAAGGGAAATAGAGTTAGTTTTTCACAGCATGTCTACTATGGAAGTGTTTTGCATAACTGCACAAGTATAGCCTATATTGAGTTGCTTGACTTTTCAATGAGGGTGGGTGGGGAGGGAGGAAGGGAGAAAATTTGGAACCCAAAGTTTAAAAAAACACGTTTAAAAAAAAAATGTTTTCACATGCAACTGGGAAATAAGAAATACAGGAAATGGGGTAATGAAATTTATCCTGCCCTACAGGAAAATAGAAGGGGAAGGGGGGTGAGATAGCAGGGAAAGCAGACTAGAGGAAGGGGTATTCAGAATGCATGCCATCTTGGGGTGGGGGGAGGGGTGAGATAGGGTGAAAATTTGGAACTCAAAATCTTGTGGAAGTAAATGTTGAAAACTAAAAATAAATAAATAAATAAATAAATGAAAAACAAAAAACAAAAATCTCATAGCTTGAAAGGCTCTTCAGACAAATTTGATTTTTCAGTTCTGGGAGGAAAAAGAAGTATTATCTTACCCAGAAAGTAGTACCAATTAATCCTTTTGGCTAGTAACATATTTTTGCTATTGTTATCCTGGAAGGGAAATGTAACGTACCTCATGTTACAGTCCTAGAGTCCTCAACAAACTCTACTACTGGTGATGAGAGGATGACCTCAGGGGAGTTCCATGGAATTTCAAAGGAAAGGAAACCTAATTCTTAAACCAAGTGGAAGACAATGACTCTAGCTCCACATTGAGAACGTATAAGGTAAGAACCTCATTAGAACTGTTTTTACTTAAACTGCATCCCCAGCACAGTGCATGGCATATTGACTTGAAATCTTATTGACATTTATTAAGAATGTAAGTATAGTAATATCAGACACAATTCATCAAATATACCTGTAATAATAGCACCATGAAGATCTGCTTTTAACAACTTGGCTTGAATCATCTGTGGTTGCCTATAAGACAAAAGATTTAACAACATCACAGATCCAGAGCTCTAAAAGAACTGAACACATAAATACAACTTCAAACTGAGGGGCAGAGAGGGGCAGCTAGGTGGTGCAGTGGATAGAGTACTGGCCCTAGAGTCAGGAAGACCTGAGTTCAAATCCAGCCTCAGACACACAAACACTAGCTGTGTGACTTAACCCCAATTGCCTTGCAAAACAAACAAACAAACTGACACAGAGAAAGAACCACCAAGATTGTCTTTTGATGCTGCATTTCCAGTAGCAACGAGAGCTAGAATTTGGAGCAAAAGAAATTTAACTTAATAATATCAACTTACGTGTCTGGCTTGAGACCATTGCACAAGTCCCGGATATACTGTTTCCAGAGATTATGCAGAGGGAGAAACAAGCTGTATCTAAAATAAATAAAGGAACAGGTCAAAGAAGTTAGGCAAAATGAAGCAAAGATTACTATGTGCAAAGTTTGTGAAAATGCAGCAGTACTGGGGAATTGCTAGGTTCCTGAAATACATTAACCAAAAAAAAAAAAAAAAAAAAAAAGAACCAAACCCAATTTCAAGACATTAAACTTTCTGAACACAACACCCTAATTAGCAGGGAGTAGCAACTGTTAGAATCTCATAGTTCCTTTTCAGTTTAGTGAAATGCCTTCATTTCAAGAAACATCAGCAGGAAGACACAGAACCAACAGATTCAAACAAAGGCATTTATCTTGCTTGGGAGGTGCCTGGGCTGAGAGTGGATGCACAAGACTAGGAGAAATGGCTCTTTGGTACTCTATTCCTCAGCTCTACCAACAATTAAGTTCTCAACTCACAAGGCTCTTGATTCTTGCCTTTAAGCAATTCTGACATTAATGATGAAGATTCTTTTGACACAAAACTGTTCATTTAAGAACTGATTTTCGAGTACCAGGTATACACTTTTCAATACTAAGTGATATTTTAGACAAGTTTGTAGCTGAGGAGGCATGCACTTTCCACGAGTAGAGTTATAGAAAAGAAAGACACTAAGTCTGGAGTCAGAAGACCAAAGCTGCAGTGAGGGTTCTGATACTAACTAGTTGTTGACTCTTGTTGAGTCACTTTGATTCTTTGACCTTTGGCCTCCTCATCTATAAACAGGGACATCAATACTACTTACCTCGTGGGTTGTTGAGAGGATAGGGATTTATATTTTGTAAGGTACTATCGAAGCTATTTAAGTGTGAGTTAATGAGGCACCATCAGTTGGTTCTAGTTCATAGATGTATTCACCCAGACAACACCTTGTAGCCAGGAACCTTTCTCTATTCAAAACATGCTGTTTTTGTGACAAGCCTCCACCAACACTACACCAACACTTGTAAATCAGATTTCTCAAACTGTAGCCTGGAATGTGGGAGGTTGTTAGCTACAGTTCTACAAACAGTGGCTAAAAGCAATCATAAGATGGGGAAACCAAGAACTATGGCTAAGGAGGGATGAAGCATCAGCAAGAGGAAGGAAGATATACTCCCACAATACTGTGACAATTCCTTTAAAAAATATTCCAACTCTTGTGGGTGGTACCTTCCTTAGCTATAAAACTATATCTAATGCTATTAAAAGTCACAACAAAAAACCTCAGATCTTAAGAAGTATCAATTCCTCTTTCCTTACATTAAACACTTTAAAAATAAACTGCTTGTTGCCATGGGTAATGGTTTCGTTCATGACACTAATCTTTGCAATCAGAACCAAGACAGGAATCAAATGATAGGCATCCTTCCCTCTCAGGCCATTCTGATTTAAAACAAAACAAAACAAAACAAAACACAAACGTGGAGAACCATTGCTAAAGGAAGGGCACCCCCTTGTGGCCATACATTATAAAAACAAGACCAAGCCACATCTTGCCTACTGTTGGGCTCCCCAATTATAAACCCCCCAAATGAGGCTGCCTATCTTTATATGGAGGTGGGAAATTGGAGTAGAGATCTCTCACCTTTGCTGCTCTGGTCTGATTTCAAAGAGGTGCAACTCTCGCCTCTGCTTTGCAGAGAAGCCTTTCGATTTTCTTTTTCTTTCCTTGGGCTTTTTTGGGGGAAGGTACTCTAGCACAACGGCTTTGCGATGAAGGTGGTCATGGAGTTGGGCTTCTGTCACATGGGGCATGCTTCTTCTGAGGAAGGCTTTCAGAAAGGCCTCGGCCTTTCGGGATCCCTGGTGCTGGGAGGAAAGAAAGGCGTCCCGAGACGGAATGTTTAATGGGCCAAGCTGGATCTGCTGCCTGACAGCTTTGCCACAGCTGTTAGTGACAATACCCACTCTCTGTGAATGTCTAAAATACTTTTTCTTCTTAAAATTACCCTGTCTCATTTTCCTGACTCTTCTATGCCTGTATTTTCATCTGTAACATAGGAATAACAATAATGATGATGATAATAATAACGACGATGATGATAATACCTCCAGTAACATCTTGTTGTGAGGGTCACAATGAGGTTGGTAAGCATCCTAGCTGTTATTCTGTAAGTACTCTTCATCCTCCAATATTTCTGAAGCACTCTGATCTCTTCTTTTGTCCCTTTCTCTCCCTACTTCATATTATACTTGGCTGAATACACGTCAAGTATCTCTACCCCAGTGCTAAGAACCAGCTCATCCTGCTCCTTGAGGGCAGAGATTTTTCCTTTTCATTGGTGTCTGTGTAACCAGTGCCTTGAATCCACACGTTTAATAAATGCTTGTCAACTGAATTTCTTCCCCTGCTTTACTTGCTTAGTGTCTTAAAAGGAAAACATGACTCTTTCTTCAGGATTTCTGTTTCTCCTGTTTTCCTCACTCAAAGGAAAAATTAAATGAGCTGCACAGGAATTACTGAAGGATTAATTAAGCACCAACATGAATTGATTTTCAGCTTAACACCCCTCATAGCCAATAAGTTAGTAAGTTATGCTCATTTCACCTCCGTAAGATCTCACACTGCCACCACCTTAGTACAATTATCATAGTCCTAATTACCGTGCACCTAGACTATGGCAATACTATTCTAAACACTGAGCTTTTATTCTTTATTCGATGTTTTACTGATGTCATTCATTCACTCATTCCCTATCACCTTCCCCCTTTTCCCTTCCACTGTAAAAGCCTTTTCTTGTCTGTTTTATGTGAGATAATTTACCCCATTCTAACTCTCCCTTTCTCCTTCTCCCAGTATAATCCTCTCTCCCCTTAATTTTATTCTCCAGATATCAACCCTTCATCTTCAACTCTCCCTGTGCCCTCTATTTACCTGTCTGTTTCTCTATCTATATACATACATACACATAATTTTTTTCCCTCCAACTACTCTAATACTGACAAAGGACTCATGAGTTACAAACATCATCTTTCTATACAGAATGTAAACAGTTCAACCTTAATAAGTCTCTTATGATTTCTCTTTCCTATTTACCTCTTCATGTTTCTCTTGAGTCTTGTATCTCAAAGTCAAATTTTCTATTCAGCTCTGGTCTTTTCATCAAGAATGCTTGAATGTCCTCTATTTCACTGAATACCCATTTTTTCCCCTGAAAGATTATGCTCAGTTTTGCTTGGTAGCAATATCCTCTTAAGGATGTTCTTACCTCCCTTCTTCTCTACCTTCAGTTTGTTCTTTATACTGCTGCCAAAAATAATACTTCTTACACACAGATCTGATCATGTCTCATGCACTGATCTCTGCTCCAAAATCTTTAGTAGCTCCCCTGGTGCCTCTGGAATGAAGTCCAAACTCCTTTGAAGGTCATTCAAGACTTTCTACAACTTGGCAGGACCCTATCCTTCTAGCCTCTACTACTATGTACAACCCAGCTCCCCCCACATGCTGGATGTCCCACAGACATCAACATGTCCAAAACTGAACTAATTTATCTTTCTCACCCAACCTCCTCTTCATGACTTCCCTATCACTGCTGAGGGTACCACCACCCTCTCAGTCAACCAAGTTTGCAACCCAGGTGTCATACTTGACTGTTCATTCTCTCTTACTCTCCAAATCCAGTCTGCTGCCAGGTCTTGTCAAGACTATCTTCACAACATCTACTATATATGCACCCTCCTCTTCTATGCTGCTACCCCCCGGCAGGCCCTCATCGCTCACACCGAGAATACTGTGATAACCTGCTGATTAGTTTCCTTGCCTCAAGCCCCCCTTGCTCGAGTCTACCTTCCACTCAGCTATTACATTGATCTTCTTAAAGTTAAGTCTAGCCATATCATCATTGTATGCAATAAACTCCAGGGGCTCCCTATTACTTTGGGGATCAAATACAAAATCCTCTGTTTGGCTTTTAAAACCATTCACAACCTGGCCCCTTCCTACTTTTCCAGCCTTCTTTCACTTTATTCCCCTTCAGGTACTCTGTGATCCAGTGTCACTGGCCTCCGTGCTCTTCCACACCTATGCCATCTCTGAACTCCAAGTATTTTCAGTGGCTCTCCCTACCTGGACAGGGTCTGGAACTCTCCCTCTTTGCCTCTGCCTCCTGGCTTCCCTCAAATCTCAGCTAGAGTTCCTTTCCATTATACTGTGAGATCCTCCAGAACAGATACTGTGTTTTGCCTTGCTTTGTATCCCCAGTGTTTAGCACATAGTAGGTACTTAACATGCTTGCTGACTATGTGCCCCCATGCCTTCTTGGCTCATGGCGTCCCCTGTGTCTAGAATATTCTTTTTTTTTTTTTTGTAAGGCAATTGGGGTTAAGTGACTTGGCCAGGGTCACACAGCTAGTAAGTATCAAGTGTTTGGTCTGAGGCTGGATTTGAACTCAGGTCCTCCTGACTTCAGGGCCGATGCTCTATGCACTGCGCCACCTAGCTGCCCCCAGAATATTCTTTATCACCTTCTTTTCTTGTTAACTTCCTGCCCAGTCTTTATAGACCAACATATGCCACTTCCATTATGCAGCCTTCTCTGATCCCCGTGGTTAATTAATAAAGGTCATTCCTCCTCAGATATCACATAATTTTCTTTTAAAACACGTTAATATGTTATACACAAATTTATCTAAACTTTTCTGCAACCCATTTTCATTGGAGGATCAGTATGGCCTCTTCTATCCTACTCCCAAGTACTTAATGCCCACAAATATCAAAGAGAGGCTTCAGTCAGTTGCCAGTTTATGTCTCTCATGCAAAAGTTCTGCCACAGAGAATGGCCCCGCTAACCTCCACCCTGCTTTTCTGAGCTTTCCTTTTGACTAAAAGAACTCTGGATAACATGGTAACAGAATCCTATCTAGTCCTCAGCAGGAAAACAAAATACTGCTATGTATACACTGTTCTTGGAGTGCCCTGCCCTTCTGATGCTTCACTGTGGCCTGGGGGTGACTTGGGTATTCTGGGAGCTAAGTTCTGGCAAGTCTAACCAAACTGCAAAGACTCTTTGTCCATGGTTAGCTAGCCTAGCCATGTGCACAGAGGCTCTTCTCCAGGTAGCCTGGACAGAGATGAACTTGTCTGTCACCACTCCTAAAGGCTGTCTATAAAGCTCAGAGAAGTGGAGGGAATACCTACTCCCATACCAATGAAATTGAAGGTTCTTTAAGTACAAGTATATGTGGCTTGAATTACATGACTTGGGGCATTAATCTGCCGAGATGAACTAAGTCCATTCTAAGGCTACAGGGGGACTTACCTTTAATACAAGGGAAGGTATTAAAGATGGCTGCTTCAAAGAGAGCTAAGGTTTGTGTTGGGTCACTGTGTTGTACAGAAAGTGGCATGCTGACCACCAAGGAAAAACCCAACACAATTTTCCAAAATCTCTTACTTCTTACAATCAGTCTTAGAAATGGAAGGACTTCTTAGGCACATTCCCTCCTCCTCTTTTCAAAGGAAGAGTTTATGTCTTTGAAAAAAAACAACAACTCATCACATGCCCGCAAGCTGGAATTTAAGCACAGCCATATCTATAAAAAACCATGGCATATTCTGATAACTTCAGTTCCCAGTGTTATCTGCTTCCCCAGAAGCCCTATGACACTCATAGTCCTATATCATTCAACTGGTAGTAACTAATAAGGCCAGGCAGCACATGCTATCTTTTCAGGTATGTTCAAGTACTATCTCCCTAAACAGACTAAGCTATCTCCAGGTAGGTACCATGTCTAATATTTCTTTAACAGAGAGTACCAAGGGTCTTTGTATATAATCGTTTAATGACAGTTTTTTTTTTAAAGAAAGAAGCTCTTTAATAACTTGATGAGCTATCAGGAGATAATATTTTTATTATATTTTTTAAAATCACCTAAAGATTCCTTTTTGAAGAGCAGCTTAAGAGGTGCATTCACTTTTCAAAATTTAAAGCATTAATGCCAACATTATATGGCACAAGGTGACTATTGCTTGACCAAAGTGGGTAAGATCCATTTGATATTAGGAGATGTGGCATATAACTCCCCTCTATGTAACAGTTTTTAGGCGCCAGCAAGGCACAGTGACAAGATCAAACAGTGACTTAAGGGGCAGTTTTGTAATGGCCATGACCAAGTATCCTTTACCTCTTGTTTACATTCCATACTATATCAGAAAACCAAACAGCTGAAGCCAATTTAAATCTTATTTTAGTAAGAAGCGAAAACAAGCCTTGTTGGTATAAGACACAGACCACATGTTAAGTCTATTAATCCAATCCAACTATTATTCATTAAATGCCTACTATATGCAAGGTGCTATGCTAGAAGCTGCTGTAGATAGGTGGCAGTGGATAGAATGTCTGGTGTACAGTCAGGAAGACCTGCATTCAAATCTGGTCTCAGACACTTACTAGCTATGTGACCCTGGGCAAGTCACCTAACTGTTTGCCTTAGTTCCTCATCTGTAAAACGAGCTGGAGAAGGAAATGGCAAACCACTCCAGCATCTCTGCCAAGAACAACCTCAAATACTGAAGAGTCAGATATGACTGAAATGAATGAACAAAAAATGCTAAAAGCCAAGGATATTAAGACAAAACAGAAATACAGTTCTTCCTTTTATAATCTACCTCCCCGCACCCAGTTTATATTTTAAAAAGGTTTGTGGTAGATATAACACAAAAACACATCAGTGTGAGTGTGTGTGTATGTGTTGTTTGACAATCACAGAAAAGACAGAGAGTACAACTAAGAGAGCTGTTAACAGCATCTATGATACTGCTATAGATTATTTTCAATCCCTGTCACCTTATTTCTTTTCTGTTTCCCTCTCCAAATGGAAAAAAATACACTTTTACTTCTAAAGACTAGCAAATTACAGTAAACAGTTGTACCTGAACATCAAGTTCTTTGGCTTCTTCTTGAGAGAAAGCTTGGTAAATCAAGCCTGGAAAACAAACCAAAAGGATATCACTTTGGGGCTTCCATTTACATTGTGACCCCAATATTTAAGAAAACATCTAATCGGCAAAATCTAAAGATGGCTATTTAATATGGAGGGAAGGGAGAAGCAGAGTTTCAGGGGTTGTAGGTGGTCTCTCATTTTGCTCCAGGGCCATTTTCATCAAAGGGATGTTAAGAGGTGGTATGCCATAAAACTTGGGAGACATGAGAACTGCAGAAAGTAATCTTAATGAATCCATACATAATGTAACTACAGCTCAATTTATATATACTTACATAATACTGAACTTTTGAGGGGCTCAGATTGTTCTGAAACCTCTCTGGGATCAGAAGAGCACCATCTCTTTACTCTAGTAAAGGATACAACTTGCTCGAATTCATGCCTGTCCACCTGTATTGGCTCTCGATGCATGAGAGACGATAGGAATACTCAAAGTCAAAAGATCAGATTTTGAATTCTGGTTCCTTCACTTATTACCCTGGACAAACCACTTAATAATAATAGTAACATAAGCTCCTTGGGCAGGACTCTCTTTTTCTTTTTTTGCATCCCCAGCACTTAGCACAATGCCCAGTACACAGTAGGTACTTAATAAACGTTTACTGATCGTTGGCATTTATATAGAACTTTAAGTTCCTGAAGTGCTTTACAAAGACCCTTAGAAGAACCCTAGAATATAGGGTTATTCATAATTATATTATATATAATTATATAATATAGTATATGTCACATATAATATATATATGTATAATTATAATTATAGGGTAATTTATAAATTACTCAAACTTTACTGATAAATAAAGAGGCTAAGAGAGATTTAGCAACTTGTCCACAGTCCCACAGTTAATAAGCATCTGTGGCAGAATTTGAACTTAGTTCTTCTTTACTTCAGGTCCATCACTGTTCACTGTAGCACTTAGATGGCTCTAACTTGAACCTGTTTTCTGGTTTGTAAAAAAGAGAATAATTATTATAATTAATAATGTAATTATTCATATACTTTCTATCTCAAAGGGTTATTGTGAGGAAAGTGCTTTATTAACCTGAGAGTACTATAGAAATGTAGGCTATCACTACAACATATAAACACACAGTTCTATTTACAATGACCATAAATGACAGATTTTTTAAGACATTCTCAATTTTGATAAAAGAAATTTTTTTTAAGATGAGGCTTTTCAAGTTTGAGTTTGGAAAACATACACTCTAGTTATAACTCATTTGAGGACAAGTATGCTTGCTAATGAGAAGGCCATGTGCCTGTTTGTTCTTTACTAGAAAAGAGGAGGGTAAAGGGCTGGGATGGGAAACAGTAGCTACGGTAGGAGATCATGGCTATTGTTCAGCAGACTAGTGTTGTACGAGATAGCCGATAGTGCGTGCTCCACTGAGATTACCCAGTCTTTTCCAAGCATAGCTCTGCATTGCTCCTTTCATAAAATTTGATATAGTCTCTCATCTGACCCAGTTCTTTGTTATGGCTTCCTCATCTGAACTCCTCCAAGAGTTCCTATTACTCTAGTATTTTTCAGTTTACATAACATCTCTCCCCCTGTACCCCAACAACCCTGTGAGGTAAGCAGTAGAAGCATATTATTTCCATGTTACAGATGAGGAAACTGAAGCATAGAGAGGTTAAGTGACTTGCCCAGTTATGTAACTGGGGATTTGGGGAGCAAGAATTCAAAACCAGGTCTCTTGGATTTTCAGGATAATGTTCTTTTCCTTGTCTTTGTGATCCCTTATTGTCACTTATTTGACCCCTTCATATACATCTTATGTTCTTAGCTCCTAAGATTAAAGATTCTGAGTTGAAATGGAACTTGGAGATCAGCTACTTTAACTCTCTCCTTTTACAGATCTGGAAACTGCGGCCAAAGAAAGTGATCTCCCATGTTCATACTATTTGTCCTATATCTGAAACTAGTATGGTACAGTGAAAAGTGCACTGGATTTGGAATTAGAAGACCTGGGCTGGACCCAGCTCTACTACACCCTACCTGTTGGACTTTACATATACTTGTTCTCCTCTCTGAATTGGTTTCCTCCTTCTAAAACAAGTGAAGTGGAACTGGATATTCTTTTTTTCTTTTTAACTCTTTTTTTTTTTTTTTTTAAGGCAATTGGGGTTAATCGACTTGCCCAGGGTCACACAACTAGTAAGTGTCAAGTGTTTGGTCAGAGGCTGGATTTGAACTCAGGTCTTCCTGACCCTAGGGCCAGTGCTCTATCCACTGCACCACTTAGCTGCCCCTGGAACTGGATATTCTTTTAGGTCCCCCACCTAGGTCTAACATTTTATGATTCTATAAACCCAGAACTGCAGGACAAGATATTTTTCAACTAATAGGTGGTTTCCTCTCTTTTTATACATCCACAATGCCTTCCACCTATACTCTTAGCTCCTGAACAACAAGGACTGGATCTCCTTTATGTTTGTGTCCTATCACTTAGCAGCAGGATGGTCACACAGGAGCCCAGGGGGTATTTGCTGGATGAGACGTGAAACGATTTGTAGCAAGCTAATGTCTAGAACAAATGACAAGTGACCAGAGTCCTGGATACAGGAGCTGAAGAATATCAGAGATGCTTAGGTCTTTTGGTCATATAGTCTAATTGGTATATGTTCAAAAAGCCCTTCAATATTCCTAAAAAGTAGTCTTTCAATTTCCATGTGAACACACCTCCAGTAAGGTGGAATCCACTGCCCTTTTTTTGGGGGGGGCTAGGCAATGGAGTTAAATGACTTGCCCAGAGTCACGCTGCTAGTAAATGTTATGTGTATGAAGCCAAATTTGAACTCAGGTCCTCCTGAATCCAGGGCCAGTGCTCTATCCACTGCCTTTTGAGCATTTCATTTTTGGATAGTTCTAACTGAAAGGAACGTTTTCTTCCACTGGGCCTGTATCTGGTCTCTGAAACCTCTCCCTCTGTGCCCTGAAGCCAAGAACAAATTTAATTTCTCTTCTACGTGACGGCCCTCGATATACCTCAAAACGGTATCGCATTCCTCCCTACACCTTCTCTTCCTTCAACTAACCTGATTTTCAAATTCTGCCTCTGCCAGCTACACTTTCGTGACTTCGGCCAAGCTGATTCCCCTCCCACGGCCTTGGGGTTCTCGTCTCTAAAACGAGTAGGCAGGCCTAGAATGTAGGAGGGCAAAGGAGCCTGGAGAAGCCCAGCCCAGCTCCTCCATTAGACAGAGGCAGGGGCGCCCTGGGGGGAGGGCCGGGGAAAGGCTGGCCAAGGGCCGCCCCGGGAGGGCACAAGGCCAAGGCACGCACGTCCTAGCTTCCTTGTACGGACGCCGAAGACGAGGGCAGGGAGGCCGGCTCCAGCTCTTCCCCGCCGCCCGGTCCCCACTCACGCTCCATCCCCGCGCCGCTTCCGGCTCTGTCTGATGACATCGCAAGGCCCGCGCCGCGCTCACGACACCGTCTCTCCGCTCCCTCCTGCTGCCTTTCTTCTCCTTTCCAGCCGACTCGACGCTGCGCTGCCTGGGCAGCCGGGGCGTGACGTGCGAGGCGAGGCCACGACCCTGGTCGCAACTTGAGGACGAAGGGGAGAGAAAATAAGGAAGGTAGCCGGGTAGGTAGATCGCTGGACCGATCAAGGGAGCAGCGGGCGCCCAGGGATGACGCAAGAGGAACAACGTCATGCGAGCGCGCTGACGCGGACCGTGAGCGCATGCTCCCCTCTTCGCGTCTCCGGGCGCCACTGTTCAAGGAACTTGGGAAGGAATGGAATTGTCAGCTCCTGTCTGGAAGGCGGCTCAGAGGCCGAGAGCGGGGAAGGGGCGGGGTAGGGACCCAGGAAAGGTCACTCTTCTTTCCAAGAGGAGTGGGAGTAGGTGGTCGATAAACGGCCCAGCCTCTTCCCTGCTGCGAGTGAGTGAGGGGGAAGCCCCCAGGGGCTGGAGGCAGGGCAGGAGCCGGACTGCGGGGCTCTTGACCTGGGGCCCTTCAGTGTTTGTTTTTTAAAATGCTGATAACTCCTTTGCAATATGGTTGGTTTCCTTTGTGATCCTCTTTTATTTTATGCATTTAAAAACGTTACTCTGAGAAGGGGTCCGTAGGCTTGATCAGGCTGCCAAAGGGTTCCATGACAGAAAAAAAAA